ACTCTCCAAAGAGTGCTTCAGCCAATCCTTGATTAAACCCGCCGCACACCACACCATGCCGCTTTCAGCATCCAGCGTGTAACGACAGCCTGCCTGCCTTCGAGAACACGATGAACTATTCGTACGCTATCCAGGTACCGGATGGAGTGTGGGCTGAAGCTGGGGGTCCAGTGATTCTGGGTAGATCCATCGGCCCAACCCCGTCCAGTCTTAGTCCGGCCCAGTAGGGACAAACACCAGGCCACAGGGCCTCGATGCTCATACTTGGCCAAGGTAAGGTACCATTGGGAAATCGTGGATTGCTTCTACAGATAGAATGACCTCTCGCAGTTGGAATCTTCCTTCGCATCCATTCACTGTTCTGTTGCTACCATGTACGAATTGAACATGTTGAGGTAAAGTGTTTCTGATGCTGCTCGCCTCGCCTAAAGACGTTCGTCTCGAGGGCTGCTACGGGTTGTTGATGATGCCTCGTCTTTCGTCTTGTCCACCGATCCCTACTCATTTCTTACTTTCCATCTTCTTTCCCTCTCACTTTTCTTCTTCTGTTTCTCAAATCTCGTCAGCTCATCTACCACTCGACCATTTTGAGGCGCGGCAGTGGCACGGCTGACGCGGCAGTTGCATTGATATCCCTACTTGGGAAGGGGCATCCACCAGCCTTGCGTCCCACCGCTCGATGGCTCCTTTGCTTAACTTTTCATAGCCTCGCCTTTCGAGAAATGAGATAAGTCACAACGGGCGAGGTTTACCACCGGGCCGGCGGGGGACGCGGGCAGCGCGGGGCGGGCGGGCTTCCCAACCGCCGCGTGCCCCCGCGGTGAGGGGGCTATTGTTGTAATTGCTTGGGCTCTCCCTTCTGGAAACAAAGTAAAATATAATAGAGGAGGAGTTTCCAAAGCGAGGAAGGAGAAATAAAGCTGAGGTAGGTCGGTACTCTACTCGGGCATGTACACACACACACACACACCCCCCCCCCCCCCCCCCCCAACAACAACTTTTTATTCTATTTACCATCCTTTTTCTTTCTTCCACAACTTTTCAACGCGGATGCCAAGCCTTCTCTTTGATGTTCCCATCAGTCGACTTATTTCACGTCGTACAAGCGCTGCAGTTGACGATGGCGAACCCGACGGCGAACCCGACGGCGTTGGTATCCTTGGATGGGTTATTTTGGGGCATCTGGTGGCCTGTGTACGTGTGTCCGATGGGTGAACACGTATCTTTACGTGATCGGCGCAGACATGTTCCTTGTCTCAAGTTGGGGCACTCTACTGCATAGCAAGACAAGGTACCTTGGACGGGCTGGCTTGTTTTCTTCTGTTTCCCTCCTTGTTTTCTTCAACATTTGGCTCCCGAGCCCGCCGCCTGTGCTCTCCCTGGGCTGCCTTCCTTCCCGCAACCTTCTGTCCCTCTTACCATGGCCCCCGGCTGCTGCCATCTCCTACATTCTACCGGCTCGGCCGTGCTTTCTTCTTGGCTTGCGGGCCATAGGAGGTTTCGTCCAGTGTTGTTGCATAAGGTCAGGCAGCCAAAGCACGTTGCAAGGGCCAGCCGTTGGGTACCCGTAGGCGTTACGGTATCACAGGTATCAGAGTGCCGTTTGTCCTTTTGTGTTGGAAGGGAAGGGATGGATGTCACAAGCGATGGCATGTCGGACACCGTATTTTCCCTGGTGGTTCATGCCATTTTCCAAACTGTAGTGCAGTCCAGTCCGTTGCAAGTCAGGAGATGAGGCATGAGGCACGAGGCACGAGGGAGGGAAAGGGCAGTAGTAGAGAGAGTTTTCATTTCTCCCTTGGCTTGCTGGACTAGGTCCAGATAGATATCTTGTTCTCCGGGCATGGCATGGACAATGCCAAAAGTGGAAAGGGACGGCAGATGTATTCGTAAGGGGGGAAGAGGGCTGGGTACCGGTAGTGAACGATACGTACCTCCTTCTGACACGAACATCTCGGCGGGTTGTATGCCTCGTCCCGAAGAGGTCCCTTCATCACCTCTTACAATGGAAGCTCCTCCACCACCACCACCTCCTATTCCTCCCTCCTCCCCCTCCCCCTCCTACGCGTTCCGAGTGTACGAAAGGAGAGAGGAAAGAAGAGGAGAGCATTCTTGTTTCAACGGCAATCGCAAGCAGCAATCGCTAACCTTGGGTACCTTTGGCATCACCTGCAGTCCTCCCCATTTCAACGAATCGGTGTGGTACCTAGTCGATGTTGCTGCCGACGCCACGCCTCCTCTCCCTCTTCCTGATACCTTCGGCCGTGCCCATCATTCACCCCATCACCGCCTTATGCCTCTTCCATCTCCATGACCATCATCCCTCTCTCTCCCTTTCTCTTCCACTTTCCACTTTCGACTCGGCCGTTTGATTAACCCTTATCCCATCTCATCCATTCCCATCCCATCCCATTCCCTTCCATCCGTCCGACCTTATCATGTCCAGCTCATGATTGCCTTTCCTGTCTCCCCTTGCCCTTCCCATATTCTATCCGTCCATTGACGTCCTTGTCTAGCCCTCCTTCTTCCCCGACGTAGATGATTCAAGCCGAACACGAGCTTAACGCTGATACCTCGCGGGCTGGCTATTGGCGCTCGGTGGTTTACTTGTCCCCTCAACTTGCAGTTGCTGAGCACCGAAGAGGTCCTCTGCATATTGAACAAGCAGAAACTCCAAACACGAGGAGGCTCTCGCTCTCCTTACCTTGCTGTCGGGCAGCTCCCCGCTGCCAGGAAGAGGCAGGTATGCTAGGTGTGCGAAATCTGCAATCGCACGAAGCCGGATCACTTATCCAGCGCCACTATTTCCCCTCTTACCCAGATGCCGCAACATCAAGTTCACTGCATGTTTTATCTGCTCTCATGTACCTTTGCTTTGCTTCTAGGTACCAGGTCGCAGCTACTTGTTCCCGTCTTTGCCGGTTCTCGCGCTTCTCAACATGGTCGCAACCAGACCCAAATGTTTGTCTGCTGTAGATGATGGTGTATTCGGCATCGACATCTCCCGCACCCCAACACTCTCGTAACACTCTCGTGGTTGGCGTCAGCCCGTGCTTGAGGCACGACAATACAGGGCAAGCAGAATAGATGAGATAAAGACTCATCCCCGTCTACCCGCCAGACAGTCGGCATCAAAACCCAAAAAAGCAAATCAGGCAAACTATGGCTAGCATCCCGAATCAAGCATCAAGCACCGGCCAGCAGTTGTCGTTCGATCCCATCGCCTTGCCTTGCCCGAGCACTCTCTCCGTATTGCCCGCCTCTTGATCCTTCTGCGAGAGCCTTATCCTCCGCTTACTTTGAGGCATTTGAGCTTAACCTTGTCGGACTCTTTTCCCTCGCCCAACCTTGACTATGCCTCCCACACCAACACCAAAACTTCGACGACGGCCACGACGACAACAATAACAACAACAATTACAGAAGTAGCCGCACCTAACCAGCATCGGCCCTGTTCCATTGCGTTGCACATCACACGGCTGCGTAGGCTTCGTTTGGTACCTTTGGTGCTTGATATAATGTGCCGTGGTAGTGCCGACTCACAGGAGACTGGTCAACCCAAGCCAAGCATCTACGGATACCAGCACCAACACCGGCACAGATACCGAGCCATAGTTATCTATGGACGACTGAGCAGTGCAGGATGGTGTAGAATGGATGGCAAACCGAGATGAGACATAAGGAACTGCAACAGAAAGTCCAGATGCAGGTGCGGATAAGAGGCCCGCTTGGTTGATTAGAATCGAATCCTAACCCCATCTACGTCGCCCATTGATTCACCTATCACCAACCCGCCCATTGGCCTTGACAAGTGCCCATCTCAGGGCTGTGCTAGGTTTTCCGTAGGTAGGTGTCGTATGTGGAAGAGGTACAGGTAGGTACAGTAGGATGGGGGGGGGGGAGTCACGAGAGAATAGCCACTACTACCTACGGATAGATAGAGGGAAAAGTCTATGCTCTTCTGGCACACTTCCACAACTTGCGCAGGCATTGATTGGTATTGGGTATTGGGTATTGGGTATTGGTATTGGCGCAGGTACGGACGGTATTGGCACTTGTACCTCTGTCCCCTCTTTCCCTCTCTCTCTCTCTCTCTCTCTCTTTCTCTCGCTGTCTCTCTAGTCTTTTTGGATACGATAGCTACCCTGCCTGCCGACCTGGTCCGCGCTGGACCTCTCGAGGAATTTCCTTTCTTCTTTCTGATCGCCGAGCGTTTCCCCCAGCATCTGGCACGTCCTTCTCTCCACCACCCACCCACGCATGCATGTACTTTGTACACCTACACCTACACACGCACACCTACATGCACACACACACACACACACACACTAAATCTCTCGCTCTCTTTCTCTCTCGCTCTCTCTCTTTCTGGCTCGTTGTCCTCCTTCGATTGCCCACAGTCGTTTTTCTCATACCGAAGGCACTCCTGCTGCACTGTTGTTTCTCTCCTCTCCCATTTCACTCCCTCCCTCGACCTCCCCGTCTCTCACCCACACGCCCCCCCCCCCCACCCACCCCGGCCTTCAATCCACACTCCTCTTGTACTCCGTACCCCATTTCTCTTTTCCATTTCCACACCCCATACCCTTCTTAGTCTAACCCCTGTATCCTGTGTGCTGGGTTGTGTGTCTTTGCGTCCTATGTAGTCCCAGTCCCAGTCCAAGTCCCACCGCCGCCGCCGCCGCCGTCGTCTCCTCCGCCTTGTCCTGCCTCTCCACACCCACCGGCTCTGCTTTGGAGGACTGACTCTTTGGCTGTGGCTCTGGCTCTGGCTCCCGCACCTGTGTTCTATCTACCCGTACCTCTTGTTGATGCGACTGATGGCGAATGCTTGTCGCCTTCCATCTCATCGTCGTCCTCGTCCACCTCCACCTCCATCTCCACCTCCATCTTCACCTCCACCTCTTTCCTCCTGCCCTGCCCTGCCCTGCCGCTACCGCCGCCGCCGCTCTGCGCTCTGCCCCGTCCGCCTTGTCTTTCTTGGCTCTCGACGTACGTACATGGTAGAGCTTCATCTACTACCCTTGCTCGGCTTCAAACAGCTTCCTGATCTCCTCGACCGCGGCACCTTGCCTGACCCTACGTCGGCATCCCGCCTTGAGCCCTGGACCCGATCTGCCCTGTCTATTGTCTTAACCCAGGCCTGTCTGTTCTATCCTGGCCCTCTTCGCTCGAGGCACCTCCATCTTGTCCTCGGCTGCCCTGGGCGCGCGCTCCCCTGATTGCACAGCAAAACAAAGTACATGGACATATTTCATCCAGTCTCCCGATCTTCACGCGCAATTACCAGTTTTACCGTCGGGCACCGACACTCATATAAGTCCTCGGCAACATCCATTCTGCAAGCTGTCTCGATTACTTCTGCTGTCCCTAGCATCCGAAGCTCAGGATACCAGGAGTTCGAGGCCCAACCGCTCGGTTCATGAAATCAAAAACCTCCGAGGCCCTCCCTTCTGTTTACTCTCCTCCCGACATCCAAGATCTCAGGGTCCGTTCCACAGCACATCGCACTGCATACATCAACCACCACCCACGCTCATTCCTTTGCGACAACAATCTATCCTCACCCATTCAATGCACTATCACTTCTCTTCCTGACAAGGAAAGGTCTTTCTCCTCGGAGCATTCACTACAGTAATCGTGCTGGGTCCTGCACTTTCGCCAGACCACCGCAGCCAGCCGCCACGACAGGACAGGAGGGAAACCCAAACCACACAGCTAACACGCCGCCAACATTCAACCGTGCTGCGCTTGACAAACCTTAAAACACTGGATCTCACCATCAACCTCCGGTTCCTGACCCACGCAAGCCACAAGCCATAGACACATACGAACCTTTTCTCCACCGTTGCCTGCTGCTGGCCGTACACATTCCGCCCTCAAGCTTCGTCCTTTGCTTGGCCCAGTCCAAAAACCTTCCTTTCTCTGCGATCCGAGGCGTTCTCCCCATCGCGCTGTCCCACACACAAGCTCTTTCCACCACCACACGTTGCCCATCAACTCAGGCTTCAGGCGTCAGGCGACGGTTACCCTGAGTCATCCAGCCAGCTCCTCATCCGTGGCTGAACAAGAAGACGAAGAGGTGGACTAAGAGGCGCTCAGTGTGTCGCGACCTGGATACTACGATCAGCGTAGGGCGAACCACGGTCCCGCGTCTGCTGCTACAGATTCAGAGAGCTCCACACATACCGTGTCGTACCTTACCTCACCTTACCCTGCCCATTATATTCCCCTCCCTCTTCTCTTCTTCGCAGAAACGCCTCGGGAAATTTAGCTTTAACAAGTCTTAATCACCTACTCGCCGTTGAAAGACATCCTCCCTTCCCCCTCCCATCGGCGTTTCTTTTGTCTACTTCTCCTCCATCCTTCCTCGCAAGTTCCAGTTTCACACACCGCGCCCAACTACAACGGCTGCATCTCTATTCCCACGAGCACTATCCTGTTCAGTCAGCCGGGCTAGCTTCCATCATCATCACAAGGGAAGACTCGGCTTTCACGCTCCGTCTGACATCTCTTTTCCACCGCATACATATACTGCCGGTAAGTGGCGCAACTCTACAGCCGTTCCTGACAACGTTTAAAGTAACTTACACGATTAGACTCGGCGCAACCGGAAGCCAAAATGGCAAATTCCAATGTTCCGTTAAACCCAACCTTCATCGGTCACGTCGCTTCCACCCTCGATGCTTTGGTTCTATTTGAAGCATGTTTGAGCAGTGCGCTACACCATGTTCCCCGAAGGCCACACGACCGAGAACGCCAGGATCTCATCAAGAGCGGGAATGTCTTCATCTACGAGGAGCATTCGTCCGGCATCAAGCGGTGGACTGACGGAGTTGCCTGGAGTCCCAGCCGTATCCTCGGTAACTTTCTCATCTATCGTGAGCTTGACCGGCCGTTCCCACCCGGCGAGAAGAAGCGCGCCATGAAACGCAACAAGAAACCTACAGGCGTGACGAAGCCCGAAGTCGCGCGCCAAGGCAGCGTGAACGGCACAGCCTCCAATCTGGGCATGGGGGATGGTTCACAAGGCGGCAACAAGGACGCGGAGCGGGCATTGATTGGGTCTCTGGTTGACTCGTACCCCTTCAAGGAAAACGGACTTGTGAAGAAGACAATCAGCGTTACTTACCAAGGCGTACCGCACCATCTGGTGTCTTACTACAACGTGGAAGATGTAACAGACGGCAAGCTGATGACTCCATCAAAAGATCACCAGCTCTCAACCATCATTCCCAGAGGGGAATTGATTATGTCACAAAATTTCCGCGCCCCCATCGACGAGGTCGAAATGGACGATTCGCGCGCAGGCCACGGTCTTTTCGCCCAACACTACCCGGTCAATGGCCACCACCAGAGTCTATCACGAGCAATGTCGGTTCCTTCGCTACACATGAGTGGAATGCCTGCAACACAGTTCGCGCACCCACCGTACATGTCGTACATGAACCCAGTTCCTGGATCTGTCAGCAACGTTGGCTACGCGCAGCCTCAACACCCAAGTTATGGCTATGATAACCTCAGCCGTGCAGGCCGGTATCCATCGAGTGCCGGATTGACTCCCGATATGTCGCGAAATATGGCACTCGAGTCCCAGCATCACCCTCGACGACACTCGGCAGCTTACGAACCTGGTACGGGACCCGAAATGAGTCTTGCCAGCAGTTTGCCAGCTGTTTCAACCGACCCCTCGCGGTCACTGGGCGGAGGCAACTACATGACATCAATGCTGTACTCCCAGCAACGCGCTCACGACATGTCTCCTCACGAAACCTTCCCCTCCTCGTCACCACGAAATGTGCATCCCGAATCTGGAATGGGAGGCGACCGACCATCCCAGGGCTTTCCCATTGAAGGGCTCAGCCGCGACACATGGAATACGTTTGACCAATTGGACGACGACCAAGGTCAATATATTCCCCAAGGAAGTGCGGGCTGGCCGAATAGCAACAACAGCAACAACACACTGGGTAGGACCTGAAGAGAAGCAGTACTATGTGTATGCATGTTTCAGCCACCCCAGTTTGCTCAACACTAAAGCTGTTGGATGTGGAAGAGAACCTAACGTTGGTTGGATCGCTGGAGAGGATTGCCCTTGAACGACAGTGTGGAAAATGTTGCGGGGTCACCGATTTCTTCGGGTTAACGAGGCAGACTCCGAATTCAGGCGCCAAGGTGCTTGCAGAGCGCAGCGCCGAGATTGCGGTTTGCGATGAAGTTGGTTTATTCAGAAGAAAAACAGAGAGGTGCACGAAGCTGAGTGCAATCCACGGCGCAGGAATATGTGAGGTGTACTGAGGAGAGAGGAGGGTGTTTGGGAACACACCGAAAAGTTTACCTGTAAGGCAATTACAGTCTTCAGACACGTGTCGTACGCAACGCAACGCATCATCATAAAATTTGATCGTCTGCGAGCGTATGTGTGTGGTCTGTAAAGCTCCCGTCAATGGGAGTGATTAGACAGTAGCCGTTGCTACGTTGCACCCCCCCAGTCGAAGGAAATAAAAAGTCAGTTATGCAGTAAAGAATAGTATGCTTGTGGCAGAGTATTCGGGTTCGTGATATGCTACAGACACGGGCCAATCATCAACCAAGCTTACCAAACGATGGGGCACCCCAGCTCTGCGCTGACAGCAAGTAAATGTGGACGAGGTCGTCTGCCACCCGCACGTGAGCTCGCGACTGTCATCCATCCAATCAATCGCACGAAAGCGAAGTGAAGCTCGACTGTGGTCTACGTCGGGCTACAGGAGACAGACATGCTGTTTGTTAGGCTCGGCGGTCGAAGGGCTGTGTCTCTGGCCCAATGCGGTCGCGTACATAGCAGCAGCAACCGTCTTCTTCACGCGTTGCCATCATCGGCACGGCATCGGCCAACGCTGAAGCTTAGTGCCTGTGCCAGTGCCAGTGCCATTCTCAACCACCCACTCCAGCCCCAATCGCGCCCGCGACTTGTCGCCCTCTATGCGTCGCGGAGTGACGGTCAACCCCCCAGGTATGTGCTGCCCTCCTCCCCTCCCCCCCAGCTCTCTCCTTCACCGAGGCACGATTCATTGGCTAATCCGTGAGAAACCCGGCTCCAGCACGGCAAGCAAGATCGTTGCGAAGCTACCTACGTTGCCAACCAACCTCCGCGAAGATATCCGCACTCTCCCGAACCTGTTGACGCTTTCGCGCCTCGTGGCCGCGCCCTTTGTGGGCTACTTTATCCTTCACGAGCAGCATGCTTGGGCCCTGGGCCTGTTTGCGTATGCCGGCGTGACGGATTTGCTGGATGGGTGGATCGCGAGGCGGTGGAAGCAGCAGACAGTCGTCGGGACCGTGATCGATCCGATGGCGGACAAGGCATTGATGACGATCCTGACTGTGTGCCTTGCCGCTCAGGGGTCTCTTCCGGGTAGGTCTCTTCTTTCTGGGTTCGGGCCCCGCTTCGTAGACAGACGAAACGGACAAGATGGAGCAGTGGTGATGGGGGGGAAAGATGTAAACTGACGATTGATTTCATGCACCTTGCAGTGTGGCTAGCAACAATCATCCTGGGCCGCGACGTGGGCCTCGCCATCTCCGCCATCTACTACCGTTGGATCTCCCTCCCGCCGCCAAAGACCTTTGCGCGGTACTGGGACTTTTCCCTGCCCTCGGCCGAAGTCCATCCCACGACGATCAGCAAATACAACACGTTTCTCCAGCTCGTCCTCATCGGCCTGACGACAGCCGCGCCCGTGTTTAGCTACGACCTATCGACGGCTTTGACTGCCATGCAGTAAGTTTGACCGTCTCCAACCCCCGCCGATGCCAACAGACTCGTGAGACGGGAGGAAGAGGCGACGGGAGCGGTGTTTGCATGTTTGCGCGCTGACACAAGGCCAGATATATCGTTGCTACTACAACCATTTGGAGCGGCGCAAGCTATATATACACCAAGGATGCGGTCAAGATTCTTGCACCGCCCAAGACTTGGCCTCCAAAGGTATAATCAGTATCAAAGGGGCTCTCTCCCTTTGGTCACCGGCAGCTTGCTCTTCGCCCCTCCCCCATTTCTTTTCCTTTTTTTTTCCCTCCTGGTATTTTGACTGGCCCAAACATTTGAAGCTCATTCTTGTCATCTGCTGAGAAACCAACCGCATCAGTATCAAGTGATATAACCACAGTCTCATGAGTAGGAAAGACGCAATACATTCGTCAAGTGTGGCCGCATCAGTGTAGGTAACAAGCATGGATTCAGAGGGCGTTACGGAAGGTGGACAAAAAGTTATTGTAAATTACATGTACATGCACAGAGGGAAACAAGAAATCTCGGTCCCAGTTGGCACGATTGCTCTGGTATTAATACAAGCATCAACGCCGCGCCTTTTCCGGCATATCACCACCTTGCCCCTCATTCGGCAAGCTCTTCACCAGGCTTTCAACGCAACAGTCATTGTCCCATGTCGTTCTCCCGGCCTTGCTTTTCCCGCCACGTCTTCTCCACGTTGGCCAGGGCAATGCTCTTCTGCTGGCGTTGCACATAGCCCAGCAACCGGAGGCACCCGGATGGTGTAATGCCCTCCAACCGCCTCGCCTGAGCCAGAGTCTCGGGCATGGTGGCTTTGAGAACGGTTTTCTCAGCCATGGCCAGGCCTGGGACCTGGTCATAGTCAATCGCGTCAGGCAGTCTCAGACTTTCATCCCGGGCGAAGACCTTGCGCTCGGCGAGCTGTCGCTTGATGAATGGTGCATATGTCGCCTCGATGTGGATGCGAGACTTGATACGCTCCGGGATGGAGCCAATGCCTGGCACCGCAGCAGCGACTTGGTCCATGGTCACGTTGCGCAGTCGGAGCATATCCATTGCGTTGCGTCGGCTCGTGTCTTCTTTTACGGGAAAACCTTGCCGGGACCATTCGGGTGTGCTCTTGCTCGTCAATGAGAGGAGTGACATGATGTCGTTCATCTGCTGCTTCTCCTCATTGAAATGTGTCCACCGCTTGTCCGACACGACGCCCCAATTTCGTCCTTGCTCTGTCAGTCGGAGGTCGGCGTTATCCGCTCTCGATGTCAGTCTGTATTCGCTTCGTGTTGTAAACATTCTGTACGGTTCTGTGACGCCCTTGGTAATGAGGTCGTCAATCATGATGCCGATGTAGCCGTCTGCTCGGGATATCGGGGCCGCTTCGAGACCAAGAGAGGCGCGACCGGCGTTCATGCCCGCAACAACGCCCTGCCCAGCCGCCTCTTCGTAGCCCGTGGTGCCATTAATCTGGCCAGCAAGGTACAGACCGCTGATCTGCTTCGTTTCCAGTGTCGCCTTGAGGCTCCGAGGGTCTACGTAGTCGTACTCGACGCCGTAGCCGACTTGTGTCATGACGCACTTCTCTAGGCCCGGGATCGAGCGCAAAATTTTTTCCTGGGCCTCTTCCGGTACCGTCATGGACAAGCCATTGGGATATATAAGGTCGCTGTCGAACCCTTCGGGCTCCAGCCAGACAATATGTCTGTTTTTGTCTGAGAACCGGGTAATTTTGGCTTCTAATGAAGGGCAGTATCTCGGGCCTCTGATGGTTTCTCGAATATGGATCGTCTTATCCAGGTTAGCCCTTACGATTTCATGTGTCGACTCAGTCGTATAAGTGACGTGGCAGGACATTTGCTCCTCGACGGCAACTCTATCGTTCAGGAAGCTAAACGGCATTGGCGGGTCGTCTCCGGGCTGCCTTTCCAGCTTGGAAAAGTCAATGCTGTCCTTGGCGATACGCGGCGGCGTCCCCGTCTTGAGCCTCCCCAGGCGAAAACCGCTGTCATTCAACGACTTGCTCAACCCGTACGAGGCGTCTTCTCCTATACGTCCAGCTGGGTACGACTTCATGCCGATGTGGATCTCGGCGCTGAGGAACGTGCCCGTCGTGATGATGACTGCGCGTGTAGGAAGGACCTCACCAGACTCGAGACGCACGCCTGTGATCTTGCTCTGGGCGGAATTCGTCGTGTCTGGGCTTGCGCTTGTGACGATGTCGGATACACTGCCTAGCACGATTGAGAGGTTTGGATACGTTTCTAGCTCTTCTCTCATGTGCTTCTGGTATAGCTTTCGGTCAATCTGCGCTCGGGGTCCCTGCAGAAACAGAGCGTTAGCGGCGATGAATAGTTCTACGAAAGGGGTATTTTGGCTTTCATACCCAGACAGCGGGCCCCTTTGTCCGGTTCAAGACCCTGAACTGCACGCCGGCCTTGTCGATGACCCTACCTGCCAGCCCATCGAGAGCGTCGATTTCGCGGAGTATGATTCCTTTGCCGATGCCGCCGAATGAAGGGTTGCAGGAGCAGGTGCCGAGGTTCTCGATCTTTGGTGTCACCAGAGCCGTCCGCGCGCCGGTTCTGGCAGCTGCGGCACATGCTTCTGCGCCCGCGTGGCCGCCTCCCACCACGACGACATCGAATGGTCTTGAACAAGGGTTAGCGACGTGCGACTGGCGTACTAGAAGTGCTTGGTGTATTACAAACTAACCTAGTGCCTTCTGCAACGTCTGCGAACCCGCACCTGCTGAGATCTCGAAGGCCTCTGGCAGTAATACGTGGGCGCAGCTTCAAGGCTGCTGAAAGGGATCGCATTGGTTATGTGTGCGGCGAATAAAAGACTGAACGCGCCTCACGTAGCAGAGCGCGGCCGACCGGCTTATGTCCTAAGAGGTGGAACCGACTTTGAAGGTTGTTGCTTTGGGAGCAAAGGTCAGAGTTCCGTGTATCGAGATCTCCTGCGCGCGCCTTCAGTCCCCTTGGGATTTTTTTGGCCCCTTGGCGCCACAGTGCACAGTGACATGATCGGTGCACGGCAATTACAAGCGCCGACTCCAGGGGTGTGGATACCTAATTCTCACCACCAGCATCTTTGGAGTAATCCATTCATATTGATTGCCAGTGACCTAGGCCTCTCAACAAGCCCATATATATTCTGTAAGTCGCATAGATGATGCCCAGCAAAGCCTGCCTACGGCAATATTTCTCATTCGCTTCTAAACATATCGGTTGAACTTTGTGTGTCTGTGTACAGCATGTGTGACAATACCTACTGGAGAACTCCAGCTCTCGTCGCCTCTGGCATGAATACTTCCATTTGATATTCTCCTTTTTTCCCCTTTTCTACCGTCACGCGAGCACGTCACAGAGAGTCCTCCGACCACTCCTGCCGTAATTTTACAATTTGGGAATGGAGTAGTCTGCGTCGGATTATCTCGGTTCAAGAACGTCTTGGCGCGCCATTGAATTTACGCCTGGTTACCTTGCGTGTTGCTCATTGGAGTGACCTAAGTACACGTGCAGATATGACAACTACCGGCGGCTACCAAGATCCTGATTTTCCTAAGTCATAATCAAGGTTAGAGCCGGATTATTTTCCCACTATCGCCTCGTGCCGGGTTTTTGTATCTCGGGCCACGAAGATACAGCGTCCTCAACCTCTTCAAGGAACGTAGCCGAGTTATGGACCGTTGTACCTCCTAGTACCAAGCGCACACCTGGCGACGATGCGTTGATTGTTGCAACCATTTTAGCCTCCTCGTACGTCGCACCACCTACTATGAAGACAATCATATCTTGCGGCTTGTCCCGAGTAGTTCCCCCACCCTCAACAAAGGGATACTGCTGTTCTTTCAGCCGTCCCCGGATCAGATTCTGAAGCGTATTTTCAAGCAGAGGGCTATGCTGGGTGTAAACGTTCTCAACGCCCTTCAGCCCCTTGAACCGGGCACCGGCTCCTCCAAATATGCCAGCTCCCTCGAAGATGTCTGTGATGCCTGTTTGTGCCTGTGACTGCTGCAATGAAGATTGGTATTTCACCAGCTTGAAAACGAGATCTGCTCGCCGAACCGAAACCCCGCCAGCGGCCACCAAGAGATCCACGAGCATGGGAAGAGCGTTAGACGGACTCCGCTCGTATCGTAGCGCATAGAGGGCGACAAGGCCCATCTTGCTGTCGCTTGTCACCTTTGGAGACTGAATGAGCTTTTGGATGTTCTAAGCGAAGAGTCAGCTTTGGGTGGTCATTCTGGGAAATCGTGCTTTGGTCGTCGGGCACTTACCTTGAGATCGGCCGCATGGTTGTCGTTACAAGCGAGACTTTGTTCAAGCTCACTGACTTCAAGTAGGTTCTCGGCGCCGACACGTCTGCTCAACTCCGAGACCAAGGTGACATGCTTGCTAACATTTCCAGATAGCTTGCGGAACTCAGGGTATTCCTCGATGAAGCGCTTCATGTCCGATATAGACTCAATATTTGAGCTGTTTTGTGTCTTGGACTGATACTGCTCCACGTAGTCCTTGATGTTCCCGCCCAGGTCACCAAAGTTGAGATACATGTTCTTCTTGAAAAAAGGATCCTGATCTTGCGACAAGACGATTTCCTTTAGCTCTGGGCGAATGTCAGGCACATCGCTCAGATCAACTCGGCCATTGGTGATTCCGAGAAGATGATGCACCATGGCTTGATATGTCCATTGGGTGAGAAGAGGTGTTGCTGGATCCTCGCGTCGGTCGAGAACGAGGAGAATAGGAGGCGTATCCACCTTACGAAAGTCGAAAAGCTGCTCCTCCTGCGTGATGCGATATCGCACTTCTGTAGCGAGTTTCTTGGTAAGTGGGCTAGTCTTGGAATATCTGATCAGCGGTTTTTTCTTGAGCGCGAGGAGCACGGCAATGAGTCCGTCAGTGCTTCTCTGTAGGGCGTCTGAATTCCACGTGTCTGGGTTGCTGCCCCACAGACGCTGATGGGGAAGGCTGAGCCCAAGTGAGAATAGGTCGGGGTTGATGACGATGAAGTCGGCAAACTGCTCCTGGACCAACTTGACGACCTCATGGTCATCAGCCTCGGCGAGTCTTTCTAGTGATGACTTCTTGACGATGTTGGTGAAATACAGGTGATACTCCCCGTATCTTGGCTCTCGTAACTCATCAATAAGAAGCTGAATGGAGTCTGGCGATGGGCGTACGAGACACAAACATCGGAGATGGCGCATCTTTTCCCTTTTGGCGTTGTCTATGCGATCGATGAGATAAACCTCATGGTTCAGTAGTGCTGACTGGGTGATGGCAGTGGACACAATGGGAACTGTCTCTCGATCCAGTAGCAGGACCTTCATCTTGGCCGACTGTGTCGTCGAAGAAGAATCGGCCGATTGAATCATACGAGAGACATAACTGGCCACTGCTTGTGCCACGTCCATATTGGCCAGGGGCGCAGAGCGCAAAGGTCGAATCCTTGGTGAAGCGTGGTGCTTGGCGGAGAGAAGGATGGGAGACGGCTAGTGGACAGGCCTGCGACAGGTGGGAGGACGAGATAATATCAGTGACCAGTTTCAGATGGGAGCCGTCAGTTCTCTACGCATGGATGGCATTCGGCCGCGTTGTATTGTTGTTGAATTAAGATGAATCGCTGGATGAGCGGAATCGATGTAGTTCGCAACTGATGCGGATGGCGGAGGTAGTCGACTGGGACAGCTTGCCTGAGCTCCCTGGCCTACCTTAAGGTACCTTAGGTACTAAAGTAAGGTAAGGTACCTCTAGGTACCTAGGTTTCTTGGCAAAGTACTTCCCCCTCAGGTACCTTCATACATCTACTCCCTTTTCTAGAGGTACGGCACAACAGCTTGGCATGCCACTGGGTTTCTAATTTCTGATGACACAATACCCAAGTATACAAAAAACGTAGTTCCATTTCGTTTTTCTCATTAAATTTATTCTTAAACAGGTATACAAATGCGTTGTGGGGATTGAAAAAGGTGCCCTAGTGCTGTATACCTCAAGTTGACAGTGGGAACTCGCGCAGCATGAGCGTGCCTGACACAGCGACTAGTCTATTCGGGTCAGCGGTGGATCCTCCAAGCAGTGATGTTCAGGCCGCTCCACAGTGTTAAAACTGTTAGTCAAACAGGCAGACACTTCACCGTGACGTTCATGCAGCATATCTTAGGTTACGTTGGTATCAGCTTTCGAAGCTGCACACCTCGAGGCGGCCAGGCCTTCACGCAGTTCACTTTGAAAGCTTGTAATTCAAACCAGATGGGCATACAACAGAGAAATAGCGTCTTCTGAGCACCAAACGACCCGTCTTCGGCCACCATCACGATGGCAGGCCTATCCGCTGACACTTGCCCTGCAAAGGCAGAGCCGACGTCAGTTCTTCTTCATCCATACATCTACTGCTCTCTAAAGAACTGCATGCTAACAAGTAACTTCATAGCCTTTCTTTTACACAAGGCCTCATTCTCGGCCAGCTCTCAGTCGTCCTCGTTCTGGCGGCCTTTATCAAATTCTTCATCTTCGGCGACCCTCCCTCGCCAGAGGTGACAGCGTCATTGAGAGCAACAGAACGTCGGTCAAGGACGTTGGCTCATAAGCGCTCTCTCCTTAGTCTTCGTACAGCAAATGCGAAGCATGGCCAGCAGACGCTCAACCGGAAGAAGTCGAGCGTCCTCCGAAATCCTCCGAACTTAACCATCGGTTCCATCCTCAGCAAAACCTATTACAATGTTGATAGTCACCAGCCAGAAAGTTTGGACTGGTTCAACGTCCTCGTGGCCCAAACAATCGCCCAGTTTCGAAGCGATGCGCAACATGATGATGCCATTCTGAGCTCTCTCACCAAGGCATTGAACGGAGGATCGAGGCCCGACTTCGTAGATGAGATCCGCGTCACGGAGCTTAGCCTAGGAGAAGACTTCCCCATTTTTAGCAACTGTCGAGTCATTCCCGTTGACGAGGACGGGCTGAACTTAGGCAGCGGCAGGACTCTTAACGCGAGCGCCGCAACGAGGGACGGCGCGAAGCTACAGGCACGGATGGACGTTGACCTCAGCGATATGCTTACTCTTGCACTTGAGACAAAGCTCCTCCTCAACTATCCCAAAAACCTCAGCGCCGTGCTACCCGTAGCACTTTCAGTTACCGTTGTAAGGTTCAGTGGCACCCTGTCCATTTCCTTCATCCCGAGCAACCCATCACAATCTACCCCGACCATGATGACTTTCAGCTTCATGGATGATTACCGCCTTGATCTGTCGATTGGAAGTCTTCTTGGGGGCCGTTCAAGGCTAAAAGATGTGCCTAAAATCGCCCAACTGATCGAGTCGCGTCTACACCGCTGGTTCGACGAGCGGTGCGTGGAGCCCCGATTCCAGGAGATCGCCCTGCCGAGTATGTGGCCGCGCAAGAAGAACACCAGGGGACCGGAAGATGGGTTAGCCGAGATCAACGCATCGGTGAGCAGGGCAAAAGGAAAGGAAATCAACCCAAATCTCCGCGCAGAAGCTCGAAGAGAGGTCGAGGCCGAGGCAAGGACGCAAACAGGTTGGGAGCAGGATTCGCTGCGTCGGCGGAGGATGCGCAGTGATGATGGATTAACAATACCCGGCGCAATGCCAGGACTGGACATCGATATGGAAAAATGACACATTGCTAGGGCAATATCTGATATATCTACTACACAAGGCGCCTCAAAACCCCTGCGGAAACAGGCTCGCCGAGGTCTGGGTCATGGGCACCAGATTTTTCCACCAAGAAATTGCCCCGGTGAACAAAAGTCCATAGTAAATGACCGTCCACTTTCGACTATCAGATCGCGTATGGTGCCCACTCACGTGCCAGTAAGGCTCGACAGCTCCCCAGAAACGGGGGAGGCCCATTGCATTGCAGAACGCGTGCACCAGCACGATGGCTAAGAGGCTCCCGGATCGGAGGAAAAGAAAAGTGGCGTAGGCACCGAAGAGAGACGTGTAGCTGAACTGCAGAACTGAGCGGGCCACAGCAACAACCAGGGGCACCTTGGGGTGAGAGATGCGAAATTCATAAAAATGATGAACATGAGCAAAGCCAAAGATGACTGGGGACAGAAAGACGGTTTGAGTCAAGGACATGCGAGCGCTGAGCAGCAGCGGAACAGAGGCAGAGCGGAATAGCATTTCCTCGGTCAAAGGTCCCTTGGGCGCACATTAGCATCTATAAGCATCGAGCATACTATACGCCTCTGAGGCTTCCTTGATGTAACTTACCACGACAATATTCCGCCACGTTGTCAGCTGGGTCCAAATGCGTATGATGGGATCAAGACCTCGCCAGTCTTGCCAGACACCGTCCATGAGAAGAATCTCGTACAGCGGAGCTGCGAACAGGATGGCCGTAAGAAGAAGGCATGATCCAGACTCGAGTATGCCAATGGGCCAATATCCCATAGCATGAAGTGGTCCAAAGGGTAGAGCATCACCGGGCAGACGGGCAAGGATGAGATAAGTCAGGGCGGAGCAAGATGCGGTAGAGAATAGGACGGATCTGATGCGTGTGCGGATGACGATAGGGTCGTCTCTCGATAGCGTTGACGATGGACGGCTGGCAGGCGAGATATAAAGAGGCAGCACGTAAACAGCAGTGTACATGACCTACATAGGCGGGTTAGTGACTGAACAAACACTTCAGCGGGAGTAGGTAGAAGTGAGGAGTCCCTCGCTTTACCAGCATCGCGCATGCCGTCAACGGCTGCAAGAATGGAGAGGCGGTCCCGGAAAGGCCAGTGCCAGCCGCGAGGCCGGGGTTGCTAGAGAAAGACATGAGGACGGCTGGTGCAATTCCGTGCACCAGTTGTCTAGGGAGAATCGCACTCAACGTGTCGAAACTTGTGGAGGGCAACCACGGGTGGCGTAAACGGATGGGTCTTGTGCTGAAGGATACTATTTGCCCACAGACGCGGCTGCCTTCATGGCGTTATTGCCGAGAATCTTGGTATGGCGAAGACGGAATCCAACCCTTTTGAAAGTCAAGGTAGGGTCTTGTCGAGGAGAGCAATGAATACACGGGAAAACCTATAAAACGGCAAAGCTTAGGGGCTCACTGTATCATCACGAGCTTACTAGGGCTGATACAGCAAGGCTGTAC